AGCCCAGGTAGCGGCTCTTGGGGACCTTGATGTCCTTGGAAAAGCCCTAGGAGGGAGGGGACAGATGGGAGGGGGCAGGAGGGCAGCAGGGTAGGTGGGGGCCTGCCCAGGAGAAGGAGCCCACCTGCTTTTTGAAGTAGCCAATGGCGTACTCGTCTGCGTAAGTGAGGAAGTAGAGGATGTTGTGCTTGATGTGGTACTCCTTCAGGTGGTTCATCAGGTGCGTCCCGTAGCCCTGGGGGAGCCACCGTGAGACAGGGATCCCCCAGGCAGCCCGAGCTGGCATGCACAGCCCTCTACCAGCATGGACATGGCAGCTGGAAGAGGTCCTGGAGCAACTACCACCATTTGGGGCTGGACAGTGGTGACCCCTGCTCCATCTACAGCAAGACCAACCTGCTCATGGCTGGGCTGCTGGGGACCCTCACGTGCACCCCACCCCTCCTCTCCCCGCTCTCACCTTCACTTGCTCGTTGGAGGTGACAGCGCAGAAGACAATCTCCGTGAAGCCCTGGGTGGGGAACATGCGGAAGCAGATCCCCCCGATCACTCGGCCGTCCTTGATCAGCGCCAGGGTCTTGTGCTTCCTGCGGGCAGCACGGCCGAGGGTGAGGAGAGCCCCCCACGCCAGCCCCCCCGGCACCCCTCAGCCACGCACGGGTCAAAGACGAGGCGAGTGATGTACTCCTTGGGCATGCGGGGCAGCTGGTGCGAGAAGACGTTCTGCAGCCCCACCAGCCACATCAGGATCTTCTTGTTGGACTTCTGCGAGAGGGAGTTGCCGATGACGTGGAACTCGATGATGCCGCGCCGCTCCTCCAGCCGCGCCGTCTCGTCCCGCGCCGCGTTGGCCGACAGCAGGCTGGTCTGGGGGGGGCAGGGTGGGGGTCACTGGCCCCGCACAGCCTCTGTGGGGGGAGCCCCGCTCCACCCTGGCACACTGAGAAAGCAGCTCTGTGGGCCACGGAGGGCACCGGAGCCAACCCCAGCCCGTACCTCGGGGCCCAGCATGGCAGCGGGGTCCGTGATGGTCAGCATGACCTCATTCACCAGCTCCATGGGGATGTCTCCCATGACACGGATCCGCTTGGCATCCTCCAGTGTGAGGCTCTCGGGCAGCTTCCGCTTCTCCCCTGGGAGCAGAGCAGAGCAGAGCGGCACATCCAGCACCAGGAGGGAGCAGGGACGGTTCCAGCTCCGTGATGTAGGCTCACACCGTTCCTACCTGGCAGGGGCTCTGGTGCACTGGCATCCAGGCTGGCAGCCGAGCTGCTGCTGCTGAGCTTCTTGCTGAAGAGCGGAGTGGTGGGCACGGCAACGGTGCTGACCGTGGCTGGAACAGACCCATGGTGCCCGTCGGAAAGCACCTCGTCACACCACGGCAGCCCACCCACCGCCACCACCACGGCTCACCCACACCTCGGTCCTTTATCCCACCAAAAGGGGGGCTGCTCCCCAAAATACCTGGGCGAGACACCAGCTGGGCACCCTCCGCGGCCGGCACCGTGAAATCGGCCTCCCAGATGGGAGAGTTCTCGCCGTAGATCTCCTCCTCCAGCATGGAGAGGAACCTGGCAGAGAGCGGCACGTTGCTGTGCAGGGGTCCCAAGGGAGGAGCTCCCTCAGCACCCCAGCATTCATCCCCATGTGGGCCACCTACTTGGGGAAGTGGGTGAGGATCAGCGTCCGCTTCTCTGGCACCAGCTTGTCCTTCTCCACACGGAACTTCTCCAGCAGCTGCCGGCGGGTGACCGTGAAGATGGACTTAAGGAGGCTGCGCCCAAAGACGTGGGTGGTCTCGTAGCGGGGCAGGCTGTCACAGCTCTGGGGCACGTGGCAGTAGCACAGCCACCTACGGGACAAGAAGGGGCTCCAGTGACTCCAGAGCATCCGTATCCCTTCTGGGACAAGGCTGCCAGGAGAGGAGCAGGCGGATGGAGGGCATGGCTGACATCTGGAAGCAGTGTCCCCACCGGGTGCTGGCTCTCCCAAGGGACCAACAATCTGGGAGAGCTGGGGAGAGTCCCGTAGTCAGACCCCAGGGTGGCTGGCTCAGCACCCTCCCCGTCCTCACCGGGTGTAGTTGACCTTGTAGGTGGCCACGTCGTCGTTCTGGGAGCGCTGCCGGAACTGGGATGGCGTTTCCAGCTTCCAGTAGTTGAGGCAGAGCAGGAACATCTTGGAGAGCTCGTACATGGTCTGGCGCTCCTTGGGCGGCAAGTGGCTGAACTTGTACTGCACAAAGTTCAGGACTCCCTGGGGAGGGGATGGGGTGGTGGGAGGGTGCCAGGGGCTGCTCCAGGCCCTTCTGTGCTGCCTCCCGAAAAGTGAGGGGACCATGCAAGAGCAGCAGAACACGGGACAAGCTATCAGGGCAGTGCACAAGCCTGACAGCAGACTCACCTGCTCAATGTTTGGTTTCTCAAAGGGAGGGCTCCCCAGGGACCCCTCGACCACAGGCTGGCTCATCTGCAGGATGCACTTTCTCAGCAGCTACAAAGACACCATTGGACATGGTCACCACAGGCCCAGGAACTGGCTGCTCCAGCAGTGGTGGAGGGGGTCAAACACTGCCACAGGGCTGCTCTGATTTCCACAGCCAGGAAGGCACCAGGGTCCCCCTTGGAGCATGCTCGTTCATCCCCTAGAAACCTCTCTCCCAGGGGATTCAAGGCCAGGAGAGCAGTCGCTCCAGGGCAGGGTCAGCATGCCAGGCCTCTGGCTGGGCTGTGGGACAGCTCACAGCCACAGCTCCAGCCCCAGCAGAGCAGGAGCAGGGGGACAGGCATCCCCAGCTCCCCTGCAATGCCCAGGCACCCCGCACAAGCCCCCTCTACCCATAGACGTGCCCAGCCCCAGACGCACCTTGAACAGGTAGAAATACACCTGCTTGGTGTCCGTGTCTTCTTCCTTGTGCACCGACATGAAGAGGTTCTCCACATCCACCACCATGCCCAGCAGCCGGTTGATCTCCTCCTCCGAGACGTTCTCCAGGTGGGACACGTGGTCCGCTGTGCCAGAGAGAAAAGCCGTGGTGAGACCGGGGGGGTCGAGCATCACTGCCCTGCCTGGGGGTCCCACGGTGGTTTACCCAGCGTGTGGCCGCAGCTCCGGCAGGGCTCGCTCAGGTTGGTCACCGGCTGCTGCAGGTCCATGCGGGGGGCCGTGGGGGGGTTGGGGTTCTTCCAGCCGTTGCACTTGCAGGCGTCGTTGGCCTGGGATGAAGGACAGGAGTGGCAGTCACAGAGGCTGCCACTTGTGGAGGCTGACGCCTTCCTTCTCAGGCCGAACGATTTCCCTGGTTCCCACTTACCCCTGTTGACCCTCACCAGCTTTTCTCAGCCCCCCACCCGACATCACCCACCACCCCGACACTTCCCTGCGTGTGCAGCCCCAGGACCCCGCGGTGCCTGCCCAGGGATGTCCCTGCACCTCCCTCAGACAACTTCTGCAACCTCTTCCCATGCACAGTCCAGTACCCCCTCCTGCAGCCCTTGCACCCACCCTCCTGCACCCCTGAGACCCCCTCCTGCATCCTATACCCACAGATGCCCTTGCACCCCCTCCTGCATCCCCCACCCAGGTCAGCATCCTCCTCCTGCATCCTCCCCCCATGCCCAGCCTTGAAGCCCCATTCCTACATCCCCTGCACCGCCCACCCGTGCC